GGAAACAGTTCAAGTACCAAAAAAGAAACAAGCATTACAAAAACCCTCCCCTCTCCTTTTCTAGGAGGAAATATACCACAGATGACATTAACAGCCGTTAAGACCCTTTATTGCAGGGAACTTAGACATGGTGGATCTGGAGTGTAGCCTTGCTGTAATTTTATACACAAACTTATTTCTTCAAAGTGAAAACTTGTATTGAATAGGGAGGAAACTCCACCTTCCATTTCTGATGCCAGACTCTCACATCTCTTTCAGTTGGTAGCACATGCCTGGCACAGACAGACACTTTGGGGTGGGAAATGCACAGCAGCATCAAGCTGGATGAGAATTAGCTGTATTTGCCATAACTTGTAGCCATACAGCCAAGGAAATTGTTTTGGCTAGCAACCACAGGTGCCTTTTAAACCTGAAGACAAGGCAGAGAAGCTAGCCTGGGCTTTGTGAAGGATGTGTGAGAGCAGAGGAGTCTACTAGGAGGAGTCTACTACTATTCCAAGAGATGCATGTTGGAATGAGACTAAAAGTGGTAGATGTGGTAATATTGTCCAGGCCTTCTCTTCTGCCTACACTGATCACACCTTTTTCTGCCAAAATGGGAAGTAAAATCCTACAAGTGAGACCCAGGAGACCGTGGGAGTGCTGGCAACACTGACAGATCATTTTTTCCAGTTTCATCTTCCTCTTGGCATAAGTGTCAAACTATACTTCTCTTTGAGGGCTTGACTGTGTGAAGGACTCCAGGAAGGATGTATGAGCAGAAAAATCCATCTCACAATAATGATCAACAGCTTGTCCTAAACTGCTTTGTTGGAAACTAGGCCCATTCATTTATTGACCCTTACATTTTTATTTTTTTTTACTACACAGATAAAAATAAAAAAATAGAAAAAAAAAAAAAAGAGGAGAAGAGAGAGGAATTTATGTTATGGCTGTGGCACAGATTTTAATTTTTACCTTTCACTGATCTTACTGAAAAATTTTGCACAGAAAAATAAGTTGGGCTTTTATTACTCTGAGTAATTTAAGAGAAGGGGCCCTCTGTTCCCTTCCTTTATGAAGCAAAACCACTTAACAAGTGAAGTTGTGTCCTAAATTACATTTACAGAAGGAAAATTTGAAGGCAGCTAGGAAACACTTACGAATGTTATTTAAGGTTTGCAAGCTTTCTAGACCCTCCCCCAGTCTTTTTAGGTAGGTGTTACCATAGATCCCCTTACAACTTTCAGCCCTGAGGGGTCTTAACTTACTTTTTTGTGGCTCTGGATGGCTGCTATGTACAGCCAAGTACCAGTTCTGACCAGTCTTAGGCTGAGAACAGTGGAAAAACAGAAAATGAATACTTTTCCTTTTTTTTTTTCTTTTTATGATCACCCAAATGAAATTTGGCTATATTCCCTCAACGGGAAGTCATTTTACCCCTTTCAGAATTTTTCAGCCCAGTATGACACACATAAAACCCCCAGAAAGTAGCAGCACATTTATGATTTTTCAGAATAAATTCTCCTTTCCCCTGCCTAATCTTAGTTCAGCAAAGCCATGTGTGTTAGCAGAAGAAAAAACCCTTTTCTTTTGCAGACTCATTAACAATATTTATAAAGAGTACAAGGTCATTGTGACACCAGGCAAGCACAGGGATCTAATTGGATTACAGCACAGTCTCACAGAAAGCAAAGAAAAAATGTAGAAATCACCAAAAGAAGTCACCAAAAAAAAGTCTGAGAAAAGTATGGTGCTTTAAGAGAGGCAAATTCAAATTCAAGTTATAATTAAAGAATTAACATGCTGAACAAAGTGGTTAAAAGGAGGAACAGAGTAGTAATGTTGCAATGTGGGAATGTTTTAGCTACTTTGCTTCTTATCCTTCAAACTGCATTATTTTTCCAATTTTTTGCTCTTAAAATGCTTTTGATTAAGCCATTAGTATCAATAGTAGCGGTCACAACAGCCCTACAAATGTTTAACAAAGCAGGACATTTGTTTGAGGCTTCAAAAAAAATAAAGGAGAAATATTATAAAACAGTACTATCAAAGCCTTTTTCTTAAAACAACTGCATTAACAATCTTTGAGTAACTAACCAAAACCATACTCAGCATTGTCAGATAACAGTGAGCATTTGTGCCAGGTCTGGAACAAAACAGTCCCAAACCAGCCAGGCTTGGTTTGATGCCAAGACATCTGTGCCACATTTTGTGGGGGACATAAGCTGCTCCTTCAGAGGTGCTGCTGCTCTGAAACCACAGGGAGTGAGGCCCTGGGGTTCCCTCAGCTCCTCTGCCCCTGGGTCCCCCTCCTGCCCCCAGGGAGGTGACTCCCTCCGTGCTGCCCCACTCACTGGTCCAGCCGGGGGATGGGGGTGGCTCTGCTCCCAGCAGTGACACCACCCTCCTCCCCAGCTGCTGCCCAGAGGGACTTTGTAGTGCAAGTGACTACACTGGTTTATTATGGCCTCTGGGCACCTTGTAGGAAAGATCCCAGACACCTTCAGAAGCAGCAGAAATCAATGAGATCAAGTGTGAAGTGCTCAGCCAGTGAAACTCCCAACAGCTACACAGACCCTCACTGCCACCCACACCAGCACCCACACCGTGTTTTCTGCCAGGTCTTCAGGTTCAACAATCCTAAAAAGAGATGTTGATACTTCTCAGCTCTGCTACCTTGGTTTCATATCCTAACTGCAGCTTAAGGGCATGAGAATTTGAACACCAGAATACGGTTAAGAGGCCAGGCATGAGTAAGAAGGAGAACATAACATCCTCCTTAACTGGTGGCAGTGGAGCTGCCCAGTGGGGTCCCAAGCTCTGAACAGCTCATGTAACTGGTGCTTAATTAGCTAGGGCTTGAGGGCAGGTGTGAGGGACAGTGATCTCAACTCTTGTGGCACTGCAGCTCTGAAAAGTGGAATGATTCAGAAGTGAGACATGAGCCAAAGCAAATTTAGAGGCTGTAGCAGCATAATTGACATATTCAGGATGCTCTTGTGTTTCTATTGAGTCAGATGTGTTCAAAAGCCCTTTTTTTGCTTTAAGTTTTTCAAGTAAATTTAACATTAAAATGTGCTGTTCTTGTGCAGAGATATGTCAATCCCTGCAGTTTGTAAAGTAAAAAATGTTTCATGCAAACAGAAAACATAAAACTCAGTGCCAAGTTAAAGAGACTTTAGCCAGGTCCCTCGCTCCCTCCAGTCTGCACCTCATGGGAAAGTGTCTCTGCAGACAGGGAAGCCATGACTAGTGACCTGCCATGGGGCACAGAGCAGCAGCACAAGTCCTGGTAAAAGTGGTGTTCCATGTCCTTTTAAACTGATCTAAATTCTACTTCCTATTTCTGTTGCTTTCCTCCACCTGTCTGCATCTTCTCCCTGCTGATACTTGAATACTGACAGCAAGCAGGTGCCCCTCTGCCCTCCTGGCAGGTACTGGGATGCTAGCACAGGCTTGGGATGAAAGCAGCAACAAGCATTGGTGAAGTAATGAGGTTCAGAGGAGTGAAAGGACTGACCATTTGACATCATTTTACACTTCTGCAGATCAGCAGCTTCAGATCTGAGCTTCTGACAGGAGGCATGCACGTGTCCTGGTGCCAAAGCAGGGCTGGTTCTAGCAAGAAGTATTTTAATTATCTCTGGGACTTCTAAATCTCTATTGAGAAATGGACATTAGTGAGATGTCTTTTGAAATTAAACCAATAAAATTTATTGGTTTAATTACCTAAATACAGGTAGATCAAAACCTGCTGAAGAGAGGGGACCAAAACAAGCCCAATCTGCAGGCCCAGAGATGAATTCTGTATCTCACTCACTTACCTTTAATTATTTAATGAACAGCTCTGCAGGTGCCTGTCCCCCTTGGGTAGGCCATATGTCAGGAAGCATCAGCTAACCCTGTCCTAAAGGAAACTCTTCATCTCCTTTATTCCAAACAACCTGCAGCAGCCTGACAAAGGCCACAGCCAAGGCTACACAAATAAAAGGATGTGCTTTGCCATGGGCAAGCAAATCTGTTAGCTGTGGACCTTACATACACGAGATCTTTTCCTAGCTCCACAATGAAAATGCCTCTGCTGGTTGTCCCCCTGGAGACCAGCCAGCTGAGATTTCTGAGCCTGCTCTGCAAAGTGAGATCTGGTGTTGGATGTGACTTGCCCAGTGTTTCTGAGTTTGCTCTGGCACAGGCTTGTTGAAGATGGGCCAGACACATTTTCAGCTGGCTCCCTCGAAGGCCTGTATAAAGGAAATTCCTTCTCAGTTAAAAAATGAGAGAAAAGAAGAAGAAGAAGAAGAAGAAAAGTATGTTCTAGTCCCCAGCTCTAATCCTTACTCATTTCCCTCCCCTCTCCCATCTCTGACATCTGCATCAAGAGTATGGGAGGTGCTGCCAGGTCAGTAGGGGGTGTCTGTGGGTCCTGGGGAGGTGTCAGTGTCACACAAGCCACAAAGCAAAGGTCTCAGAACCCTCCCCACAAGCCCAGGGCAGGGTGTGGGTTTAGCCGGCACGGTCCGGAGCAGCTCAGCACCAGATTCAGCTGCTGTGCCCTCGCCGTGGTGGAGACGGGCGGGATGTGCTCTCCCAATGCAGGGAACATCTGTCTTGTACGGGACATCCGCGCTCAGGGCATTCTGAGCCGCGACAAGCCCAGCAGAGCCCACAGAAGCAAGGGGAGGAGTTGTCCTGGGGCTCTGGGTCAGACCCTGCTCAGGTGTGACTGAGGAACCTGCAGAATGGGAAGAATTCAGAGGGGACATATTTGAGCCCTGATGCCATTCCGAGCGCCGCTTTCCCTCCCCCCTGCCCCGTCCCCACCCCACCGATCGGCCTCTTTACCATGACAAAGAGCCCGGAGGAGCGGGCCGCGGTGGATATTGCGGTCCGGGGCAGGCAATGGCCGGCTATAAAGGCCTGTCTGCGCTTCGGGGCCGCCTCAGCTCGGTGGTGGGACCTGCCCCCAGGTGGAGGTGACAGCTGGCGTGAGGGGGGATCCGCCCCTGCGGCCGCTGCCCATGTGCGCGCACTTGGCGCTGCCGCCGTGCCCCGCGTACCCCGGCGGGGCTGCCCGGGGCCCCCTGGAGCTCTGCTGGAGCGCGGCGGGGGCCGCAGCACAGGCCCCCACAGCGGCCGGGCCCGCCGGACACGCCGGGCACTCTCCGCAGGCTGCGGGCAGGAGGCACACGGCAGGTAAGGCCTTGCAGCTACATCCTGGAGGTGACCCCCAGGATAACTCTGCTCCCAGGTCAGGCTCAAATGACTTTGAGCGGATTTTTCTCTTTCCCTGCCTTGGTTTTCTAGTGCGTGACCCGGCAAAGTGCGCTGTGGTGGGCAAGGAGGAGGGGTGACCTTGGCCAGTCACACCACTCTTCCATGCTACTTTTCTTGGGTGGTTGCCAGCTGGTTTCCTAAACCTCAAAAGAGCCGGAAAGAGTGGAGGCACTGTCAGGTCTGTTCTCCAGGCTGAAGGGCAGAGTGACAACTTGGTCTTATGGAAATTCATGGTTCTTGGTGCGGGGATGTCTGGGCCTCCTTTTAGTTAAATGCTGTCATTTGTGCCATCGAGAGAAACAGATCCTGGAGATACTTCTTGTGGCATCCCTCATCCTCTTACAAACTCCTTGCATCCTTTATGCACTTATTAATCATGAGCCAAGGCCTGCTCTGAATCACTGGGTGCTGGAAGATCTGCTCCTTTAAATCTCGCATTGTTACACTGCTTCTTTCATTTTGCCATTTTCGTCTGTTTCCCTCTTATTTCTGTGCTCTGGTTGCTTTGCCTTTCCCTTTTTAACCAAAAAGTCCCAGGCGTCACTAGAGTGACATTTTCTGTTCCTGCCATTCCTCTCCCAGTCCAGTGAGGGGCAATAGAAGAGCTGATAAGAGCAGGTTTTCGCCCAGCCCCACATTATGGCCAGCAGGGCAACACCCTAGCAAGGTAAAAGGGTGGGAGAAGAGCCAGGTTTTGGGGTGCCACTTTCCAGCTGTCAGTTGCTGTGGGAAGCTCCAGGCTCAGGCAGAGTGCCTATGGCTACTCACATGTGGCTACCTGCCATGTAGCCTCTCTGCATGCTGCCTGCCCAACAAAGGCAGCGGGCAGATGGACTCTGTGTGCCCCTGTTGGGTTTGGTACATAGACTTTAACCCCATCTTCAAATGCCCTCATGCCTCTCTCAGAGAGAGACCCGTTGCAGAAGTCAAAGCTTACAGATGTCAAGGCCTTGTGAGAGTGGGTCTGTTACAGGTTTTCATGTTCATATTTGTTGCACTGTGGTTTGTGTTTCTTGCTTCCTCTCTCCTTTCCTCTCTTCTCATGGGAGAAGGAGCACTTTTGTCCTGAGCTCAAGCTGCACACAATACATTTCATTGGGCTTTGGGATGACAGGTCAAGCAGCAGTCTGGGGGAGCTTTAGTTCTACAGTGTCTCGCTGTGGTTCCTGTCTAACAGGAGACTTTCCTGTTTTCCAGGCCCATGTTCCCAGCATACTCATTTCTTCCATATCAGGTTTTTACTGCACAGCCTGCAGGATCCAAGCATCCTGTGATACCACATAAAGTTTTAGCTTTCCATGCAGCCAGGTCACTGATGTTCAGCTTCCTCAAGGCCCTGCAGTCTAACCCCATGCACATAACACTACAGGCCCTTGCACCTCTTCTGCTGACAGCCTTTTCCTGCTTGCAGACAGAATCCCTTTGCAGTCCTCATGGCCCCACTCCCCAGTGCTGGAAACCTGCCCCACTACACCCCTGGCTGCTCACCCAGCCCCTGCTCTGGGTGCTGTCATCTCCTAGGGACAGCAAATGGCCCAGAGCAGGCAAGCCTTGAGTGGCAGGCACCACAGAGACGGGCATGCCTCTGTCAGGAGAGTTACAAGGGGCACACTACCACAGATGTGGCCACCTTTCTGAGGTCCAACAGGACTCCGAGGCTTTTCAGTGATTGCTTAGTAGACTCTCAGCTTAGGACAGAAGAAGGAAAGGTTTTGTAGGATGGGTGGGAAGCCCATTCCTCCGGGGGACATCAGTGCTTTGCTCTGGACATGTGTTCTGGTGATTGAGGAGAGTGTCTCAGTGTCACAGCTCTCAGGGTGACTGTTAAGGAGGTTGGGAGACATTGGTTGGGCTCAGTAGTCAGAAGGTGTGTACTGAAATGGCACTGCCCCATTCACTGCACTTCCAGTAGGAGGAGAGGGGATGGACCATGCAGGACAGTTTGCAGAGGAGTAGCTGGAGGAGGGAGGGATGGGCAGATTCATCATTGTAGTTAGGGGAAAGAGGAGTGACTGGTATCACAGCCCTTCAGTCAGGTTGGCCTGAGAGGGTCTCAGCCTCTCTCAGACCCCAGTAATCTGGCATGTGACACATTTTCTTATTCCTGCAGCCTGAATGACTTTGCATCTTGGCAGGTTTTGTCTTCACTAGGAGCCCAGATTGTTCAGGAAACTTTTCCCTTAGGTCTTTATCTCAACTTTGCCATCAACAGAGATCCCTTAAGACACACACCAGGACAAATTAGAAGGGGCTTGAATGCCTTCCTCTGCACTCTTGAATTTTGTCCCCTATGTCCCTGGTACAGGATTACTGCCTCCTTTCACCTGTTTCACATACCCACCTTTCCTCTCCCTCTCCTTTTCCGTGTGACATTCTTTTCCTTCATTCTTCTCTCACCAAAAGCCCCTCTCAGACAAATAGCTCCTTCCACCTATAGTGTCTCCAGCAGTGGCATGGTCTATGGTGGGAGACAAAGGCAAACAGGACTGAGCCAATATCCATTGCCTGATGTTCTCCACCTGCTGCCCTCACTGTGAGCACTGGCTGCTCTGCCCCACTGTACACCCTGGTCAGAGGCTGTTTTGTCTCTATTGAGTGCCTTGGTTTTGCTGGGCAGGCAGTTCTGGGGAGCCCAGCCAGCAACCCAGAGCTATGCTTGCAGTCATGACAAGGCCTTTTTACACCACAATCAGACTGAAATATTACTGAGGCCATCTGGAGGAGGAGAGTTCACTGTGAACCAATGTGCACCACGCTTTTGCACCACTCCCTGCCCTGACTTTTCTGCCTGGCAGAAGGGAGTCATGAAGATCCCAGGGGGACTGAGCTGGGAAGCTGCTCGCTCTCAGTGTACTTGTCTGTGCTCACAGCTCTGTGAAGAAAGGAGGGCCACACAAGCCTTTGCTTCTAAAAAGCTCCTGTCTGGTAGGCAAGGAACTCTACAGCAGGCAGGGAGCATGCTCATACCCTTACAGCTAAACATTTTGTCTCTTAGACCTTTTCTCATTTTCTTTTTATTTATAGAAGTGTCCCCAGCTTCATCCAGTTCTGGGAATTTCAGCCAATTCACACCAGATTCAGCCACCAGTCCACATTCCTCATCCTCATCCCCACAGCCTTCAGCTAAGTCTCAAAAGGGCAGAGAATATGGTGTGGAGGGGATCAGGAAGACCAAGAGCCGGACAGCTTTCTCCAAGGAGCAGCTGCTAACCCTGCACCAGCGCTTCCAGAGCCAGAAGTACCTCAGCCCCCAGCAGATCCGGGAGCTGGCTGTTGCCCTGGGGCTCACCTACAAGCAGGTGAACACAGAGACTTTGACCCACAGTGTATCAATCTCACAGTGGCTGAGTGGTCACTTAAGGGAGTGCCAGGATGGAAAGATGAGTGCCCAGCAGGGACTGAGGCGAAGGTGCCAGCTAACAGTTGCTCTCCTGCTTATTCATGCCCAGACATCAGAAGCAGTTTTGCAGATAGAGGGGTCAGTGGCACCTAATTTGGGCCTCCCAAGTCGGGGGTCAGTCAAGGGTTCTGTTACCAACACCCGTAGTAGAATTGCAAACCCAGTGATGAATATGTTGTTCACCACAAACAGTCCCTACCCTGGGCTTTGCAGCACTTCACAGATTTTTTTCATGCGCTGTGAACTTCTCAGAAACCCTGGCATGCATCTGTTCTCTGAATCACAGGGCTGCTGCAACATGCTGAAAGCTCTTGCTAGTGTCTCCTGGGTCTTATCTTGTCCAGTATCTAATAATGCTCCAGACTCAGCTCTGCCTGGCTGCTTGACATGTGCTCCCTCCTCCCCATGGGTGCTGCTAGGTTCACACATCACTGCTCTTTAGGGTCTCTGCTGATCTCCAGGTAGGTTGTGTGTAGTGAAATGATGCTGCCTCCAATGTTGCCTTCCTAAAGCAGGGGGGGGCTGGGCAATGGGGCACAAGAGCTCGCAGTTACAAGTCCAAAATCTTGCTGAAATTTGAATCCCAGAGCTGGGCATGGTGGCCGGGGTGCCCTGGGACTAACAAAGCTATATGTGCATTTTAAGTGTACACACTGAACTGGTTCTGTCAGGAGCAAGGCAGGTGGGACAGTCTGCCCTTTCCTTCAATCCACATCCCTGCAAAGGCTGCTTTCACAGTGCAGACACAGCCCGGGGGGAAATGGCCCAGGAATTCGCCCCAGCACGGAGCTTTGAATTTGGGAACTGCTGGGGACAAGGAGCAAGTCTGTCCCTTCTCTGTTAGCAAACATGCAGAAACAGCGTCTTAGAAGTTTGCCTGTAGTGCAGGGGGCTTGTAGAGGTGTCGGTAAATCTGATTTACACCAGTCATTCACGTCCATGTTCGGAATGAATTCATTCGTCCCAGCTATCACTGTCCCTTGACCCCGAGCCACCCCCTCCCCCATCACACAGTTGCACTAGCCACCTGCTGAGGCTGCTAGACAGACCTCTCCCCGTGGCAACACCCCCACAGGAGTTCCTAAAGGCTTTTATCTGCTGCTGCCCATGTATCTCTGCCATCTGGTCACTCCCTCTGGTTCTTCCTGCTTGTGAATTTGGTTACATTTGTTTTTCCCTCTCCTTTGCTGACATTTTCTTTGCTTTCCCTTCCCCTCCCAGGTGAAGACTTGGTTCCAGAACCGGAGGATGAAGCTGAAAAGGTGCCAGAAGCAGAGCCTGTGGAGCGAACGGGCTCAGTGTCTCACTCAAGTAAGAACACAGCACATGGCTCATCATGGCTCTTCTGTTTGGGCAGATCAGTCCCCTATTTCCTCCATGGGGGCAACTGAAGCCCCCATGTGAGCGTACCTGGCCTTCTGGTTTGCTCAGCACAGAGGCACAGACTGGGCACCACACCATGTGTACTGGTGGTAGCCCAGCAGTGGGCTGGCTATACCACAGAAACGTTTCCAGGGAAAAGCTGTTTTCCTCTTATGTATATATGATTGTGTATCCCCCCCTGAACTATGGGAACGGACATAGTTCTTCTTGCCCTCCATGCCATTGCTGCTGGTCAATAGACAATATGAAATGTGAAGGGACAGAGCCCCAGTACATGTCAGGCCTATGGACACCAATGGAGAAGCTCTGTGTTCTGACTCTTTACCTTCCCTTTCAGAGTGGCTTCCAGAGCGGAACTTACCTGGACGTGCACCCCAAATTCCACCAGGGCTACCCCATCACCACAGCTGGCAACGTGCAAACCATGCCTGCCCCCTGTCAGCACTATGGAGCAGGGCAGAACGCTTACACAATCCTGACCAGTGAGGATGGAGGAGTCTTTGGCAAAGGCGGGGGGACCTGCAGTGTCCAGCAGACAGTGGGCTTCATTGCTCAGCACAAAGTAGACTTTTACCACAGCTATCCTGGCAGTGTGGAATATCCAGGCTCCAAGACAGGGGATGGCTGTAATTTTCACCACTCAGCCACCATGGGGGCTCCTTTTCCAACTGCTGCCAGCCATCATCTTTATCATTCCTAAGCACTGTGGATGTGGGGTACTTGGGCAGCCAGGAATCAAATCTTATTCCCATCTCTCCCTTTGTTATTCGTGTGCTGGCCACCTCAGGGACACCTTGTAGCTAAAACCTGTTTTGGCATCCAGATGTGTGCCTGCAGACATGCAGCTGTGCAGAGACCCAAACGTGTTTGCCCAGGTACACTCACACAGAGCCCTTCGTTTCTGTGCCCGTACATGTGCACACACACATTCCTTTCTTGATTGGCACTGACAACCAAGCTCCCTTATAGCAAAGCCCAAGATCTGTCTACACAGCTTATGCCCTGGATCTTCTTAATTATGAATTGTGTAACTTGTCTAAAGCAAGGATTCCTTTGGGAATCTCATTTCTATGTAGTACTGTACAGTTGTGTGTACATAGCACATGAAGCCAGGAGCTGTATGGAGAGGTGCTGGTCACTTACTGTTAATTTAAGTTGGAGAAGTTATTGCCACATGCCAGTTATCCATTTGAAGTGTAAACCATCAGTTCTGTATATCAGCCATGAGGTGAAGTGATGAAGTGTCTAATGAAGGGAGTTGTGACAAGTAGCTTGCAGAAAGGCTGGTAAGATGATCTTATAAGCCCTTCCTTCTAGTCTGTATCTTTCTGTGCCTCCCCCTGAGAAAACCTAACGGTGCATTCAATTTGGCAAATAAAAAAGAGTACTTTTTAAGATGCATTATGTATTTTTATAGATCTCTTTTTTCCCACTGCAATAGAGCATTGCAATATAAAAACCAGATGGAGCATAAATAGCCATAGCAACTGTATGCCATTGTTATTTGATACTGAAACTATAAACAGAAGTTTTTCTGTGTTATTAGTGGATCAGCTTCATGGCTCTTGGCAATGCCAGATATCTCGAGTCGGAAAAACAGGTGAGTAACTGTCACCCACCTTAAGAATTTTCCATATCCAGCAGTAGTGAATAGGGGGACTGTCATGGAGGTACTATAATTTCTAAACTTGTCTATGTAAGTGTCTAAGTACCTAAAACCAGATGTGTGTAGCAAAGTATATGCAATAACAGGCCTCCAGTTCCCTGAGTCACACATTTTCTATCACTTTGATGATGACAAAGAATTTCTCTTAATGCAATGAAGTAGCTGCCATGGTTAAAAAAAAAAAAAACAGCATAAAATGAAGGCAGTGATTTCTGTGACTGGAGTAATAAGAGGCATGGACTTCTATTGGCAAAGCTGATTTATGTCCCTGTGCCTCACAGCTGTTTGTTCCCTCTCCCATTCCCTCACACAGACACTCTGACTCTACTGTGAACTGTATGGTGTGCTGACTTTGGTTGTGTTCGTTAATTTTCTTCACAGTATCTGGCATGGGGCTGTGTTTTGGATTTGTGCTGAGAATGGAGTTGATAATGCAGAGATGTTTTCATTATTGTTGAGCAGGAATTGCACAGTGTCAAGGCCTTTTCTGCTTCTCATTATCTCCCTGACAGCAAGAAGGCCAGGGTGCACAAGGAGTTAGGAGACACAGCTGGGAAGACTGACCCCAGCTGACCAAATGGATATTCCATACCATATGGCATTGGGGTCAGTGTAGAAAACTGGGGGGAGGAAGAGGGGGACATCCAGAGTGATGGCATTTGTCTTTCTAAGGAATCATTACACAGGATGGGGCTCTGTTGTCCTGGAGGTGGCCTGCCTATGGGAAGGGGGTGAATGAATTCCTTGTTTTGCTTTGTTTGTGTGTGCGGCTTTTACTTTACCTATTAAATGGTTTTTATCTCAATCCACGAGTTTTCTCGCTTTTAGTCTTCTGATTCTCTTCCCCATCCAGTGATGGGGTGTGATCAAGTTGAGTTGCTGCATGGTGCTCATTTACGGCCTGGCATTGAACCACAACACGTGGCCGGCATGATCTGGTAAAGATAAAGCCTTTTGGATGGTGAGTCACGTAGTCTCTGCACAGCCCCCGCCTTCTCCTCTTGCAACCATCAAGTCGCTAAGGATGGGCAAGACTGTTCTTGAAACCAGGGGTGGGGAACAATTAAGTCCTCTGAAAAGGTGCTGGCTAGCATTGGAGGGTGGACAATAGCGGCAATTATCAAGGCTCTCACACCAGAATGAAGATATTTTTCAGTTCTTCTCAAGCCAACAGTTCTGTTTAGTTACCTGAATATAACCTAAAACTTTTCCATGCCAACCCATCAAAGGCCGCTGTAGGTGAAAAAAGTTGAGCTTGCAGCACGTCCTCACTAATAATTCTCTGGAAAAGGAGCCACATGTCATGCCCTGCTCCTTCAGAGATGCCGGATTTTGCTGTGGAGGCTCTGGGACTGGCTTGCAGAAAGCTGTTGTCTGTAAGAGCAACAGCTGTGATCTCCCTGCTATTGACCTTCAGCAAACAGTACCAAATCTTGTGGTTTCCTCAGAGACACAATTTTTCAGAGGTAACATCCAAAGATAGTCCTTATTGTCACAGGTGGTTATGGAGTCCAAAAGCCTGCAGCAATTCCAAACAGGCAAGTAAGCAGCTCCCAGGAAAGGAGATCACTGATGTCTGCTGTAGCAGGAGCTGCATTCCCAATGTTCTGTGTAAAAACAGCAGGAATGTAGCTACTGTTAGAGGGAGGCCCTCAGCCCCAGCCAGCCAGAGGGACACTGGGGACTTAGTTTCTTTTCTGGTCTTTCTCTAGTATCTAAGCTATGACTTTCCTGGATCTTGGGGCTCCCCCAAAGCAGACGTCCCAGTGTTGTAATTTGTAAAAGATTTAATGGCCTGGACACTCCAGCTGCTAGACAGCAGATGGACTTTTGTCAAGTATGAGAAATTAATTCTAGCTTGGTTATGAAAGAGATTCTCAGATATGACCCAAGGGTACTCTTCAAAACTTTGGACAGCAGGAAGACTACATGACCCTCACAGTTTGGAAAATACTTGGGATTATGGTTTCTTGGGGGTTTTGTTTTGGTTATTTGATGTTGGGGTTTTTTAAATTTAGTTTGTTTTTTTTTTCCTTTTATTTTAATATCCAAGTGCAATGATTTAGAATAATTCATGCCTCATGACTATTCAGTATCAGCCAATATGCTGCTGCCCTCTGATGACAGGCCAGGCAAGAGAGATGTGGCAATGCTTGACTGAAAATTTCCAAAACCCTGCTAGCTCAGCATTCGGGTCATGTGGTGTTGTTAGATAGCTAAATATGCTTACGTATGCCTCTAGGAAAGAGCCTATTAACGCAAAGATCATTACTTTTATCTGCACTGGGGAGAGAACTGGGGCTTGAGAGACAACTGGGGCTGTGAGCCCTTGCTCCTGGATCACTCAGAAGAAAGATGGAGCTTGTAAAACCCCTGCAGGCCACACTGACTAGAAAAGCAAGGAATGAGGTTGTTTCCACTGCTCTTGGTATTTTCCCTGTGGGATAGCTGGAACCCAGTGAACTACAGAATAAAATCCTGGTCTGCATAATCTCTACCAGACCAAATTTCTTCTGTTTAGGTGGAGTTCTCTGCAGCACCGGAACTACAGTTGCAGCTTTTTTGTCACTGCAGATATTGTAAATGAGGAGTGTATTCCCACAAGCTGTAATGCATATGAAGAGCTCCAAATCATCTTACAGCTTAATCCTAAAAAGATTTCCTAGCAAAGCAAATGTTTGCAGTGTGCAGAAGTCACTGTTACACAGCAGTCACGGAAAGCAGCAGTCCTAACAGAGGTGTAATGCGTCCTAGCAGAAAGAGCTTTTGCTGGCATGCTTTTTCTTCCTCTAAGGAACTAATACCAACACTTCTGCAAGGATGAGGCTGGAGGCACCTGCATCTCCACCCATTTTGGTAGTAGTGCCCAATTACCTGTGCAGTTGTTTCACATGTTGATGTGATTCAGGCACATGAAGGCAACAGATCACCAGCTCTGAGGAAAGACAGTCCTGATTTTTAATTCCACAGGCTCTAGAAACACTTCCTGGGCAACTGTGAGTCCTTTCCAGCCCACCTTCCAAAACTCTAAGAACAGCTGCTCCACACACTCCCTCCAGCTACATGTGTTTGCCAAACCTGCACACAATCCAGGCTGAGCAATCAGGGGAATAACACAGCCATGAGGGAACACTCAATTTCCACAGAACACTCCCACAGTACATGGAGTAACAAACCACAACATGCAGAGCAATCATTTTCAGCCCCAGGGCTGTTTTAGCAACAATATCTGGTTTTGCAGAAAGACATCTGCCAGTAGAGTTCTGGCTATCTCCTTACCTTTGCAGCAGACACGTGGAAACAAAATATACAGAGCAGCACAGGTAAACTGCAGCAGGCATTCTCTGCAACTGTTCTGCAAAGATCTGTATATTACTTCTTTAAAGACTGCATCTTAAAAGAACCCCAAAATCATAAGCTGCTAATTCTAAAGCTGAAAGACAAGGCATAGTATGTATGACTCGTTTAGGTGATTTATATGGTTCACCTTTATTTTTTCCAAGTAAATTGTTGAAATACTTTTGCTAGAAAATTACTCAGAATTCATTCAATGCTACTGGGATATGAATCTCCCATCCAATGAGAAAGGAGCTCTTGTTCTGTAATACAGAAAACGGTGTGAACCTTTTCCCCTTCTCCCGGGCCAGTTTAACCTTTTTCTCCTGTTTTAAGGTTGGCAGTCTAAACATATCAGTGACTCATTCTTTTGTCCTCTACACAGGCTCAAGCCTCTGCTCCTCTCTCCTTCCTGTACCTGCTGTACCTTGCCTCAGGAGCAGAGGAGTGCAGCGTTGCAACAGGAAAAGAGGGGATATGCCTTTGCACCCACACAAACAGGTTCTGTTCGGCAAAGGACCTGCAGCAGTCTGAGCCCGAGCAGTCAGCTGCCAGTTTAGCTAATTGTGCTCGGTGGGAGTACCCATTGAATTACCCCTTTCGGACAGATGAAGGGCTTCAGTTGTGTAGTGTACTTTAAAGAACGTGGGATTAAACCTAAAGACAATTTCTGCTAGTCGGGAGTATGACTAAATAGCAACTTGGTTCTGGTTTTGTTGCAGTGCCAGAGGCAGAAGATTTAGTTACCTAGTCGCAGACTTCTGTTGCCATTTGAGGTCACCACAAGAACCCCAACAGAGCTGCATATTTAATTAGGTGGGATTCCAGACCTCCAGTTGTGACCTTCTGGAGCACCAGCAGGAGGCCCACACAATCTCCAGGACACTTTCTTTTGCTCCATCCTTTTTCAATACTTTCTTTTGAAGCACTGCTGCTCAGGGGCTAATAGAAGCACGTTACAGGGCTGCACATCACTTTAAGCCAGCAGCTTGTCCAGTCGCCTGGCCCTAGAGCCTCCCCCGCCCTCCTTGCAGTAGGTTGCACACCTGCCTATTAAAAACAGGCTGATAGACCTCTGTGGCTTGCTCTTTTTAAACAATTACTTGATCCCACCTCTGAGAGAAACACGGTAGGGTTATTTTTCCCCTCCCTTTCCTCAGTACTGCAGGTCTAACCTGTGTAGCACAATCACTCTCGTAGCCAGCTGTTCAAATGCAAGCTGTTGACAGCATCACAATATTAAAATAAAGTAATTTATTTTCAAGTCAAACAACTTTGTAAGAACATTAAGAACATTGAACATTTAGCAGAAAAACCAATAAAACACAACATGAATATAACATAAAACATGCTCGGTAACACTGCAAAAAAACAAACTTCATAACAAATTATTCAGCAACAACAAACATTCACCTCCTTTGCAGTGGAAGCTCTGCTGCAAGACACATGGGGCAAGGATCAGAGATCACCTGCTAGAGAGGCAGCAAAGAAGGTGAGACTTGAACAACAAACAGACCTTAGCAACCTTTGCTGTTCATAGCTGGAACATTGCACACTGGCCTCAATAAATGAGGTTCAAACTCATCAATACCCAAAGCATCTTTGCCAAGGGTTAGCTATGAACAGACAGGCGCACTTAAATAGGAAACTAGCTCCAGGCAGCAGGGTGCTGAGCCCCCCCCCCCCATTAGATAAAACAGCAGTAGTGGAGGAGGGGCAAGAAAAACAAATAGAACATGACTTCAAAACCCTGGAAATCCCATGGGTGAACAAAAGAGGTGGGAGAAAAAAATACTCAAACCTGAGACTCATACCCACTCTGGGTCCCCATGGGATGCCAAGGTAACTGGCATTGATTCTGTATAGGAGAGCTCGAAAATGGTGTGACAGTGTCAGAGGGGTTCTGGAAGTTGAAGGTGTCTTCGACCTCCACACTGACATAATCTATATTGTCAAAGTAGCTGTGATAGAAGTTCATTTGCTGGCTTAATAAACCCATGGTTTGCTGGGTATTGCAGCTCGTCCCACCTTTTCCAAACAGCCCCTCATCCTCCACAGAGGGGAACGAGTACAGGTTCTGCCCATTTCCGTACGTCTGTCCACTGCTGTAAGTCTGGTGCACGTTGGACACGGCCTGGAAGTTCCTGCTGGAACCGGCAGGGAAGACCTGGTGGAACGTGGGTGCTATATCCAGGTATGCAGCCTGATGAACCCCATTCTAGGAGACAAAGAAAGTCGTTCAGCAGTGCAGAACCACACCAACGACCCATTCTTTCGGATGGGTCCTCTTTTCTCCTCCAGCCCCCCCCTCCAAGCCGAACAATAGCGCCTTTTTCAGGCCCATTGTCCTCCCAAGAGACCAGTAATGGCAGAGATGACCGGTTAGCAATCTCCAGCTCAACGTGTCCAGGAACAACCACGCTGGGGGGGGAAACCAGCTTAAAAAGAGATGCCATCGTAAGCCCTGTTACGAGGAATACAACTGGCTCGGTAATATTGAGTCCTGTGGCTCGTTTGAATTACCTACCAGGTTGCGCATTCTCCCCGCAGACTGGAGGAGCCGTGACTGGTGGTGATGGGGGGGGGGTTTACTCACCTGTGGTAAATACATCCCTTTATCCATCCACTGGCTCTCCTTTTGGCAACGCTTAAATTTCATCCGTTGATTCTGAAACCATGTTTTCACCTAAAAGTGATGCAGAAATTAATTTTTAGAAATTAATTTTTAAGAGCTTACTATACATCTTTATTTCTGCTACAATCCCATTTCTGACTTCTAATACTGTAAATAATTTCAGCAGTTAACAACGTGCAGCAGATGCAGGTGGCTGTAAAATCACAGAGCTGAGACATGAAAACTAACATTCCTATTCCTTAGATCACCACTGGATCTTTCCCGACTTCAAAAAGCCTGCCTAAAACACCAGCCAAGGCAACTGCAGGAATCAGGTTGTACAGCACCATCTCACCGCTGTGTCATGGTCAGGGCTCAGGAATGGGTCGCTCCTTTAATCATACACAGGCAGCTGCTAAGACAAGGACCCTTCTTTCCTCTAGGGAGAGCCCACGGTGCCACTCGGACCAGGAAAGGCCTCTTGCCTAGCAGCGCAGGTCTCTTTCTACACTCAGAAACAGCACATGTCCATGCAGAGCACTAACCTGACTCTGCACAGCCCTGCTTCGCTGCTCTGCAGGGCCTTTCGAACACCTGCACGCAGTGGGTGGATAGTGCTGGAACCAAACCTAAGACTGAGTCATAGATTTTCACACCCTCTGCTCTCTCATGTAAGAGGTAGCACTTGCAAGATAATGAAAGAAACTTCTCTCTGGGGTCCAAGAAAAACAAAAACCACACACTAAAAAAAAAACCCCAAAAACCAACAAAAAAAAAAAACCAAACAAACAAACCCCCCAAAAAACCCCAACCAAACAAACAAAAAAAAACCCCAAAAAAGACAAAAACAAGATGTTCACCTGCTTGTAGGTGAGCTGAAGAGCAGCAGCCAGCTCCCGTATCTGCTGAGGGCTGAGGTACTTCTGGCTCTGGAAGCGCTGGTGCAGGGCTTTCAGCTGCTCTTGCGAGAAGGCTGTGCGGCTCTTGCCCGTCTTCACCACACCCTTGCCTTGCGCCTTGACCTTCTGGAGGGAGGAGTGGGGAGACGGGCTCCCCGCTGCGGTGGGGCTGGTGGCGGAGTCGGGGGTGTGGTACTGCGTGAGCGTCCCGGAGCTGGAGGAAGCTGGAGACTCAACTGAGGAGAAAAGACAACTGCGGTGGGCAAAATAACTCAGGGAAGACTCAAAAAACCTTGAAAGTCCAGCTAATCGGGAGAAATTGAGATTGCGGGTGCCCTGGGGACTCGCAGCCGTGGGCAGCGAGGCACGGGTCGCCTCACGGCAGCGGAACCGCTGCGCCCCTGAGGCCCGTCCCGTGTGGGCCGAGCGGCCACGCTGGCAGCCGGCTCCCGCCCGCAGCATCGGCATCGCCTCCCAGCCCCGGGGCTCACGGCCACTGCCAGGCCAGGGCAGCCCGATGGCTCGGCCCGCCACGTACCTGAGGGACTGGGCGTCTTGGCCGCGGGCAGCGGGAGCGCGTCCGGCGCCGGAGCCTCCTCGGTGGGCACGCTGTCCATGCTGCCTGCGGAGAGCCAGTAATAGTCCCCGTACCTGGCCGCGCCCGGGTACGGCACGTATTGCGACGGGGCTAGGTGGGCGCTCATGGCCGGGCCGGGTGCCCCTGCACCAAGCATGAGTCGAGGTGACCGCTGAGACTGCCGGCAGCCCGAGGACATGCGCACCTTTGGGGGGGAGATGCTTTAAGTCCGCCCCAGCCTGGCCTTGGCTGGAGGGTATTGTCATGGCCATTGTCATGTTAAAAGTTGGTTGATTAGGGGGAAGGGACTTCGAGGGCATTCAGGAACCGGGGGAGGGCCGGGCCACCGGGCTGCGCTTGCCAGCTTGGCTGGTGGATGCCACGGCGGGGATGAGTACATCACTCCCTGCTGGGGCGTGGGAAGGAGGTCCCTGCTCGCCCCTCGAGGCAGCAGGCCCGAGCGGAGTCGCCCGGTGAGTTGGACGGAGCTAGGCAGACACCCCCACCCCCAATTTCACAGTTCTCCACCCAAACAGAGAGAATGGCCCCGGAACCCGCCGCGGGCATGAGGAGATTTGTGCGTCTGCATTGCAGATCGCAACCATCATTGCAAAGAGATAAGCCCTGCACCTCGCCGCGAGTGAATCCGGACGGGGGCAGGGGGATGGCCCCTCAGAGCCGTGTCTGTGTGGCGGCGAAGAGGGCTCAAAGAAATCCGGGCTGCTTCTCCCAGCGGCTCGCCCAAGGCTGAGCCAGGCAGTCCGGTTCTGCACATGTTCCAAGCTTCTTTCCCCCGCCATTTAAGACTTATTAGAAAGCAATATTTTAAAACAAAAATTAATTTAAAAAAATAATAAATTGTTGCTCAGCAGGGAGGGATAGGAATCACCGGCTCAAATTCAAACGGAGACAAGAGCACTCCAGCTGTAAAACAGCTTTACAGATCTTAAGGATTTGAAGTTAGGGCCTACGGCCTTCTTGGGAAGAATAAACTGTTTCCCTTGCCACCCTCTTCCCCCAGCTATTACTGCTTACTTTAAGGAAATTAAAAACTTATCGGTAGGATCTCACACCCCGGGAGTTACAAAACCTGGAAAACCACCTGGAAAAAGTACAAGTGAAGGCACGTGACGCACCAAGCAAATTCCCCACCTCCTCCAGCGCAAGGAAACGGGGCACAGGCAGGGGTGTAGCTACTAACCTGCTGCACTGCTAAACGTCTTTAGGACCTGACAGAGAAAGACCTCCCTTGATTTCAATTTATCTCCGCCTCCTATCTTGAGTCCTAATGAGCCCCAGCTGGTCCCCTGAGCCAGCAAGGAAGGGTCCTTGCCGGGCTTACTTTTGATCATCTCTTAATGAATGATCTAGTTTCTCTGAATCCGGACAAGATCAGTCAGGACTATTAGGAATGAGGGAGAAAGAGGATAGAATCTCTTATAATGAAAATACCGAGCCAGAGCCAGAGCCTGGTTCAGGCCCCAAAGCAAGCCGAGGCAGCCGGGCTGTGGGTTTGGGCAGGTCACTCGCTCGCAGAGCAGATGCACGAGCGGAAAGGGATTTTCCCTCGGCGGCGAAGCCGTCCTGCTGCCCTTGGCGGGGCAGGGAGCCGCCGGTCCCCGTGTCCCCTGCCGGCAGGGCTGTCCCCCCGGGACACGCGTGGTGTCTCTCCGAGCTCGCCAGAAGCAGCCCCTGGCAAGGACGGGAAGTCCCGCGGGGTTTCTGCAAGCCCAGCCCTGGTGTTTGGCGGCCCCGGAGGCTGCGGGAAGCCCCGAGCCGTGCGAGGACACACGGCTGGGCAGGGGGAACCGCGGCAGAGGGATTAGAGTTTTACAGACCGAGTAACACCCCCTCTGCCAGCGAATCCTCCCTCGGAGAGCTGCGTGTGTGTGCTTGGAAAGGCAGCAGGACTGCTCGCAGTCTGCAAGTTTCATACATAGATCAGTTTTTTTGTATATATCAGCTTCTGTCCCAGGGTCAGACCTGCTTTGTAGTGAGCATGCAGCTGATTTAATTCTCCCCCTCCCCCCCCCTTTTTTTTTTTAGGTCTTTGTTCATATTTTTGTTTTCGCATCCCATTTGCCCTCCATTCCCTTTGTTTTATGCTTTAACCACCAAATCGCTTTTCCACATATCCCCTTCCAGTGAGGATAAATTGCTCCTTCACCCCAACAATAACTCTAATCAGCTTACCAAACATATATTTTTAAATGTAATTGTGAGAGAAATAAGACTTGTGTAAGTGTATAAAACCATACCATCTAAAGTCAGAATTTATTAAGGAAAAGAAATTCACTTATTTTCCCCCAAATAAATGATACACATGAAAACATTGCAAAGGTAAATACAGAAGTCATACAGACACAGAGGATGCTATGGGAAACATGATGTGGACATTTGGGAAGATTATGGGGTGATCAGGTTTAGAACATCTGCCTGTGGCACCATTAGCCTTCAGACTGGATATCCTGCCCATGAATCTCTAGAGCTGATGTGCTTTCAAATAATGTTGGGAAAATTTTTAAAATTTTCAAAATTTCAAAATTTCTAGAGATTATATGCTTTTAAAAAGTGTTGGGAATGACTCACAGAGCAGATGCAAGTATCCACTTGTGTTTCTTCTGGAACTGTTTTCAGCTGAAACTGCAACACAGGTCAGATCTAGTCTAATCCTGTTTATCCCATCAGGGCCAAATAGCAGGAACAATTTGGGTTTTCACCCTGGATTGTGTCCCCCTCTCCCTTCATTGTGTGGCTACCCCCTTATTTTTCAGTTCTCAGCTCATTATGCACTCATTATGTACTGAGGAGCATTATTTAGGTGAGTAAGAAGTTGGCTTATTCTTGACACCCATACCCTCACCCACGGGGTTGTTTGTAAGGACATCAGCACACATCTTTCCTATCAAGTGTGTGGGACTGAATGCAGCCACCCACTGGGCTGTGGCATGCTCCAACAAACCCTTCTGTAGTGCTTCAGCAGCAGAGACACAAGCTCAGGTCCAAAAGCAGTCTTGACCTCTTTGTCTAAGCACAGTGAGATGGGACAGTGGCTGGAAGGTGTTTCATCCCAGAAGTTCCCCCTACAAGGATCTCCCATTATTCTCAGTAGGGTCCCTACCTGCAGAGGGCTGGAGCTCAAGCTTGCTCTGAAGTGATGCAAATACTCCAGTTTACATGGAAGGAGGCTGGGGAAGCACCAGCTGGCTAATGCTGTAAATCCAGCTCTGGAGCTCATACCACTGGGTCAGAAGTGCTGGGCTTTTCCGACCTCAGAGCATCACTAAACTCATTTTGATCAACAGGATAATGCTGTAGTGGTAGAGGTTGTCTCGAATTTTACATAGATTAGGTGCTCTCCCGCCTCCTGCAGCTGGCTGTAATGTGGGTCGCCTGTGTTTTGGTAGAGGCTGTGAAGTGCCACTGCGTGTCGCTGTGCCATTCTGCCCATGTTGGTGGTGCTCAGCGGGGCAGCAGGGTGCTGGCTCGCTATCACTGAACAGGGAGCCACGGCCAGAGCCCCACTGCCCCTCGGAGGTTTTCCTGGGAACCACCATCCCCTGACAGCGATGTGTGTGCTTGGGGAAGGCAACTGGAAATCCTTGCCTTGTGTTCTGTTGAGCTTGTCTGAGCTTTCGTCCCTAGCAGGCACCTTTAAGTTTATGATTTTATTTCTGAGAAATTTTATTATTTTATTATTTTATTTTTAATTTTTATTTTTATTTTTAATTTTAATTTTTATTTTTATTTTAATTTTTATTTTTATTTTTATTTTTAAATTTTATTTTATTTTTAAAAAATTTATTATATTTTTCTTTAATTTAATTTAATATTATTTTATTCCTTTTATTATATTTTTATTATTTTATTTTTTGTTTTATTTTAATTTTATTTTTAAATGTTAAAAATTTATTTTATTTTTTATTTTTAATTTTTAAAATATTTTATTTTATTTTAAAATATTTTATTTTATTTTATTTTATTTCATTTTATTTTAAATTTTATTTAAAAGTGAACACTACCCAGGTGAGGTGTATGAAAACACTACTGCCCTGCAGACCTCAGTACTTGCCCAGCCCTTGGCTCTGGACAGCCTGTCCCCTGTAGCATGGTCATAGCCTGCAGTCTGGACCAAAGACGACAGATTGTAGAAGGAAAAGAATCAAGAAAGAATAACAAAAATTAGGCCCTCATTCATATTAAAATACAGTTTTCCTTTCTCCCGACTCTTTAGGGGAGCAGGTAGAGAAAAGGACAAATCTCCTCCCTCCCCCTGGCAGCCCAGTCTCTGGATGCCCTGAGAATTGCTGGGTGATGTGGCCCTTTGTCAGCAGTGCAGGGGCAGACTGGCACGGGCCATCCCTGGCACAAGGCCTTGTGCCAGGGATTTTCTTCTCTGAAAAGGCAAGAAAGCTGTGTGTCATAGAGCAGGTGGGAAGCAGGCTAGTGAGAGCATGAGTTTCTAGGCTTTGATAGGTCTGTTCTTTCTTTACCAATCCTTCATCCATGCCTGCCATGCGCGTGATGCCAGAGTGCTGTAGCTGTGAGCACTCATCTCAAGAAGCATCCCCTACCAGTGCCCATCAGCTGGAATATGGAGCAGTCTTGCAAGCAGCTTGGAGCCAGGGTTATGTGAAATCCTGGGGAACATGGATTGGAGATGTGCATATCAGGCAAAAACCTTCCAAGCATCCTCTCTGCTGGAATCCTCCCCGCTCTCTGCCCTTCCTGGTGTGGTTGTTCCTATGGGCTCTGTTAGTAAAAGCAAACAGCACAGACAGAGCTGTCTTCAAATGCTTTCCACCCTAAGGGGGGAATGACAAATCCCATGTTTTGCACTGTACCAAGGCCCCGTGCTTGGCATGAGCCACCTCACCCACTCTCCTCGAAAAGCTGCTCTACATCAAGCACTTGGTCTTTTGTTCTCCAAACACACACCACTCATGAACTTTGAAATTACACAGAACGGTTTTTTTCCCCCCTCTCCTGAGCCTTCTTTGTCTTCCTCATTCTCTAGGGATAGCTTCCTACAAAATGCAGCGCTGCCAGAGCCTTCAGTTCAAGCGGGACACTGAAGCGGTGGCTGAATCTCGTGTTCTCTCGAGTTCACCACGTATTATGGCACCTGCTTTCGCCCACATCTCTCACCTGAGGATG